TTCTCCAGAATAAACAGTACTATTGATGATTGAGTGATGGAAAAACAATGTGAAGCAGCAAAGTGCTTGTGTTCTGAGAGAATCAGGCGTGTCCACTGACAGATTTTTATCTTGAATTTGCTTCAGTGGCAAGCATGCTCAGTTTGTGGTGCCGTTAAATATTCTGTATTTAAAGCCTCTCTATGGGAGTTTTAACTCAGTTTCTTTCCCATGTGCTCAGTTTTTCATAAGTAAAATGGGAATAACGACACCGACGTCTTTTGTGCTTTGTACTGCTGAGAAACATGATGTAAGAACTGACTATTATTATACACATCATTCTAGTTCGATCCATCTCTGCTGACCTTTTCCATCCATGCTGTAAGATTACCTGACTAGGAAGCTCAGCTTACCACTGTCTGCACTGCCCTTTCACAGTGATTCGGTGCACCGTTTGGTCGCCATATGATGGGCATTATTAAGACTTGGTGTTTATATGGACACTGATCACATTTAAAGCCTTTACAGCTGCTACATGATAAAGTATATATAATTTGTTTGGTGTTATTGCTACCTCAAGTTGAATACAGAAATCTTTTGTGGCTTTTTTTTTATGATTTGCAAACAGCATGACTTCTTTTTTTGTACTTTTCATAAATAAGACTTGAAGGAATTGTTCCTGTTGATGCTCACTGTTTTGTAATGCAACCTTGCCTTCAAAACTTTAGAAATTACCAGATCTTCAGCAAGGAGGTGAAGTAACCTCAAAAATTTGGTGTAAAACCCAGGTAGTTGTCTTAGGCAATGCCAGCTCTCTTGCTGTAGTTGAATTGACTGCTTGCAGTTAGCGGTGATGTTCTCACTGCAGTGGCTCCACATCTCTGCAGCAGCTGTGTCCCACAGAGCTGGGCTGCTGCAGGGCCTGGGCTGGGCTCAGCAGCTGCACCACTCTGTGCAGAGGAGGAGTGACACTGCTGATAGCCATTGCAAAATGTGCTTCGTCAGGTTGGGCTGCTGATGTGATTGATGTATTTGGAGATGCATTACCTTCTTCTATGAGAAGAGATGAAAATCTGTTCCCACTGTTAAATGTTTGTAGCATTTTAAAATATTTGACATACTGATACGGGTCACATGAGTGTTTGGACTACTATATTCTTTCTGAAAAAAAACCCTAGGAAAAGGAATATTTTATTGATAATTAATTAAACTTTATCATTTTTTCAGCCACTGAGAAAGATGCAGAATGAGTGCTCTTACTGTGCAAAAGTTTGTTCTTTCTTTCTGTTCATGGTGGCTTAAGAGGCCTCACTTATAAGAAGAGACTGATCCCGTTGTGTCTGTGTAGGTATTAAAAGAAGTAAGGTCTCTGTTACTAACTCAAGCCAGAAAGGCTCTTGTACATACTTCATATTTAAGCAACTGTCTTTGTAAAACCGTGATGTAGTTATTCGAACAGTCCTTGTATTATTAACACTGCTGTGGCCATTACATTTATCTAGGTGATCTCATAAATGAAGATAGCAGTTATCTATTAACTCTTAACCAGTATTTTTTCCAGACCTGCTACAGGTACATCTGGTGGTTGTGTGTAGTGTTGCCTGTAGGTCTCTATTATTAAGCTACAGTTTTCAGACTGTGTGTGGGCAGTACACAGGATTGTATGTGTACATGCATATACACTAAAAACTACTGACAGTGGCTTACAGTCTCCAAGCCACGTGCTGAGAAACACAAACCATGTGCACACTGATTGATGTAGAGGTCAGTGAGTGGACGTGTAAATGTAACTGTACACCAGCAGTGCTAATTGCACAGTGCATTAATCGTACATGTTTCAGTCTTGTGTTCTGAAATTTTACACATTACAGTCCTTTGCAGCCCCAGAAATATGCTGAAGATGACTGTGTGATGTAGCCCAATGATAAACTTGAGGCTAAATGCCAACATTTCAAAATGGTACTGTGCTTTAGCATGTGACTTTATCAGAGGTGCCAAAGGAATAATTTGTTCTGTGGTAAGAAAAGAGACAAGGAGAAACAGTATGAGAGCTCATCTTGGAGAAGAAGGTATGGAAATGTTCAGGTGCAGCAGTGGGGAAAAAAAAAAAAATTACAGCAGTACCTGGGAGGTGAGCAGCAGTCCATTGACAGCAACATGCTGCAGTGAGATGGGTTTTGATGAGTGCCAGCACAACTTAATACATCCTCAGCAAAATCCTCCAGCAAAAGTGAAAAGTGGCGAATACTCAAGTTAGAGAGCTTTTTAAGCTCAGCATATGAACAGGGTGTATGTAAGTTGTGAACTGCTCTGTACTTCATCACTACCTCAGGAGGTTTTCATACTGGAGCAGAGATTTACTCTGGGGTTTGGATTTGCAAGTGTGTGGTTTGTTATCTTTTTTCTTCTAGGTGAGTTAGGTGAATAAATTCTGAAGGTGTCCTCAGATACAGATCTGCCTTTTGGAAAAGCAGTATTTAGTAGCAGCATTACTCCAGGTACCAGAGGGATTTGCACAGAACATTCAAACATCCTCGTCTCATTGTGAACAATTCTATTATCTCTGTTCATTTTTTATAAAGGTGAGAAATTAAGTATAGCTGCATTCTTCTTATTCCTGTGCCAAAGAAAAAGAACATCCTTTTCTAAGCATTTTTTTTTTCCTCTCAGGTTGTTTCTGGTTTGTATTACAGAGCTCTTACAATGCTGAAATTACAGTTACTTTTTTTCAGGGCAGAATGTGGCTTTACTAAAAAAAATCAACTCCCACAGTTCAGGATTAAATGAAAATAGGGGGCAGTGCAGGTGAACTAGCACTGTGAGAAAAGACATTGGTAACAGAGATCTTATCTGGACTAAGCTCAATGTTTGCCAACCCCTGTGGCAGGAGGAGGGCAGGGCTGGTATCTGTGTTGTGCTGAAGGAACTGTCACCTCAGAATGCCTTTAGTTTCTGTCTGCTAGTGCCAGAGCCTGAGGAGCTCTTAAGGAGTCAGTCTTTGTCCTTACAGCTTGTGACCTCAGTTAGGTCCAAGGTGGCTTTGTGGATTATGAGGCAGCTCTTCCTTGTATTTCATTCTGCATCCAGACCCACCACTCTAACACCTGATTTTGACTGAGGCTGTGCATAAGAATGCAGGGAGCTGTTTGATTGATTTGCAGCTCTCTTGCTTTGAAACTGTCAGACAGATAGGAGCTGCTACTGCCACGTGTCCGAAGGTAAATGAGTGTTTTCACCACTTTGAGTGGCTTGTATACAACGCTTGGAGTATTTATGGGGTAGTGGTAGTGCTGCATGACAGTTCTGATTAAGAAATTAAGTCTGAGTAATCAAGATTAAAAGGTAGAGTATGGAAAAAGGGAGTAGCAGCAGCATTTGTGAGGTACTCAGCAAACAGCTGTGCTTCTTTGTATGAAGGCAGGATGAGTTAGATCTGTAAGCAGTGCAGGATCATGGACGTAATAAACATCTTGTTATGGACACATGCTGGGTTGGAGATGGAGTGGTTGGCTTCACCCTGACATCCAGCCACCTGCAGTTACTTCAGGTAATGTGCATCTGTGTCATTTACTCTTGACCGTGACACAGATGCACTTTTCTGATGTTTTAGATACTTCAGCATAGTCAGAAGTGGTTAAAGCTGAAGACATGTAGATACATACTTTGTGTGTATGCTTGCGATTGTAAGTAGGATTAATAAATATATAGACTTGTTTCATTTGGATTCTGTCATCCTTGTAGGTCCTTTCCAACCCAGGAAATTCTAGAAGTCTAAAAGTATACCCAAGAGTTTTTAAGCTGGAGTGTATGGTGGGCTGTGTGCCCTTCATCTTAGGCTAGAAGAAATTCTTTCTGGAAATAAAATACTAATACATAATGTTAATGGTAAATTAAAGAAGCTTAGCAGTTTTGTGAGGTGTCCTTGTGACATCTGCTAAGAGTTCTGGTGGCTGTTCTGTGGCAGTGTGTAAGACAGAAAAAGTTAACTTGATTCCAAAATGTAAAAATGATGTGAGAATTCATCTAAGTGTTTTTTGTACATTACAAAGGAAGAAATTTAAAACTGTCTTTTTATTGCCTTATTTTTTAGGTAATATTTCAGTAATCACACTACCAGTTTCCAGTACCAACTCCCCAACAAAGATATTGCCAAAAACCTTAGGACCAATCAATGTGAATGTTGGACCCCAAATGGTAAGTTTTGCAATGACAGCAATGTGAACTCGTGTGACTAGATATATAATTCCCATTTATGTAATATGGAAACATGGAAAAAGTGAAGATGTGGGCCTTGCTGGAACATACAGCCTTAGGTGTAAGCCTGAAGTATCCCACATGGATGGGAAGGTGATGACATGTAGATGCAGCAATCTGGGCATGCCAGGATTACAGCTCCGTAATTATTTATAAATTTATTATCTAAATATATCAGATTATCTTTCTGGCTCTGACTGGAAATTGGAACAACTTCACTAGCTGACATTTCCACTATGAGTCAAAAGTATATTAAAAAAAAATAATTACCAAGAATGTTAATGATACTCTCTAAATATTTGAGCACAATAAATAATTGCCAAGAATAGAGGAAAGCAGTCAGTTAATCCACTTTCCTCTTATTACCACCTTCTGCTAAAGGCACTGGTTTTCTAAAATCACCCTTAGTTACAGGTAGGTTCTATAGCAGGTGAAAGGGTATAAGTTACTGCACGGTAGGAGACTTCTTATTTTATCTCACTCTCCTGTTCTGCTGAAAGAACACTGTTTTCCTTCCATTCTTTACAAAGTTAGATTTGAAAATCTTACGGTGTCTGACTCTGCTCTGTGATGCTGTTCTCCATTGGATTGCCGCAAGTGGTCACTTACAAGCTCCACTTAAGTATTTCTGGTACAAATTCTGTCACTAGTTGGTGACAGCTAGTCCAGCATTTGAATCTCTGATGGGTTGTAGGAAAAAGGAAGAAGTTTTGGTGTAGGTGCACAGCTGCATGTTTTCAGATTTCTGTACAGCAAAGTAAACAACAGCAGTGAATATCAGTACTCGACATATTGTAATCTGTCAATGCTAGAGATACCTCTTCTCTATAAATGTCTATTTCCACTAGATGGCACCATGATACAGAAAGAAATGTCTGTCTTTAAAATACACAAACATGATTTTGTACCTCAATTTATTAACCTGGTTGTCAAAATTATAAGGACATAAAATATTCTTTTTATGTTATATTTTCTTTTGGATTTAAAAGACATCAGTAGAGCAGTGTGAAACCTATGAGTGGGTGAAACATGAAGAAAGGAATTTCAGTATGCAAAATATTTAAAATCTTTTCTTCCTGACGTGTCTGCTACATGCTGGCAGAGCCATAATGCTCACTTCCTTATCCACTTGTCTCTCTCTGTCAAGCCTAACTGTAACACAAAGGATAAATAAGATAAATTTTGTTTATTCGGGATAAAAGAAATACATAAATGTAATTATAGTTTGGTGTTAGGTGAGATATAAAGTACTGCTTAGTAAATTAAAGAAGCTGGAAATTCTTCAGATAATATTTTTTTTTTATCCTAGTTGCTTAAACGATATGAATGGACACCAAATAAAGTGTCTGCCATGTGCTACTTATATGGGCGTAGAAGTAGTAAGGGAAAGGACCAAGTTTAACGCATTTGTTTCTCAACGTATCACTAAAAGCAAAATAAAGTTTAAAAATAAGTTATGAGCAAAAAGCATTCTCCAAGAAGCTTTTGTATAATTGGAATAAAAGGAATTTTAACATATTTATTTTAGAGATTAACTAATAATACTGTCCCATTTTTAAATACTATCTACATTCTACTGGCAACCTGTGTTAAAGAATTAACTTAGATGTGAATTAGCATTGAGAGCAAGTGTTTTTACTGTTAACAACCATTGTGCATTGAATTTCAACAGCTTTGAATCAATGTATTGTAAATTCTTTTTCTACAGTACAGATTTCACAGATTTTCACAGATACAGGCTTGTACTCTTAGCTTGTTAGAGGGCCTGGAGGTCTTGTGAATGCTGTGAACTGCGGGGAATAATTGAGAGGGATCTCAGATTATCTTTGGTAGCAAATACAGATAGTTAAAAGAGACATTGGGAATGAGGCTTTTCTGATTCCAGTAATCAACAAATTACCTACATTCACTCTGGAAGAAACAATTAGATGCATATAGGTACAAATCCTATCTGCTCCACCTAGTAATTATTCCTGTTTGTCTAGTTCTTGTTTATAAAAGTAATACAGTAATAAAATACAATAAGCAGAGACTTACCAGTATTGTAATTTCTCTCCTGTGTGAAGATCTAAGTACACCTCTTCTGTGTATTTCATTTTCAACTTACATCTGATTTACATTTGTACATCCTTCGTATGAATTCTAGGATATGTTAACCTGTTTTAATCAAAGATGTAGTTTTTGTTGATATTTTATTTATTTATTTATTTTCTAAATTTTGTAGATAATAAGCACATCACAAAGACTGACCAATTCAGGAGGTGTTCTGATTGGGAGTCCGTATAACCCAGCTCCAACGATGGTGACGCAGACACACATAACAGAAGCTACTGGTTGGATTCCAGGGTAAGATTTTGGCTTATTTATTGATGTTTGTGTATCTCTTCTGATTTTTTTTGTTCCTTTATTTATGCTATTCTAGCTATACATTAGCTCACAGCTTCTCGTTCTTCCACAGTTAAAAAGAATACACTCCTTAGCATTCAAAGTGCTTCTGATGTCTTAAGCATGTGAACACAGAGTTATACACACTAGCTGCTTCACTGTTTGTTTTAGTTTTGTTTTATGGAAATGTCTGTTCTTGTGTGACAGTGGAAACAGGTGTGCAGTTTGCTTTTCTTGCTGAATATGTTTATCTCCTCAAATAACCTTTTAATTCACTTAGTAAGCACCATGGACAGGGATTGCTGCTAGGAAGATGTTTGCAGGTGAGACTGGTCAGACTGAAGGTTCTGAATTGCACAGCCAGATACATGCAAGCTTTCACAGAGCCATCACTTTAGTTCAGCTCTCTTCATTAACACTGTCAGCTTTTTAGCTATGTGTGTATCTGCTGTGAGACTGCTTTGGAATAACAGAGTAGCAACATTAAGTAATGTACTATGACAGTTCCCAAACACTGTACGTTACCAGCTGCAAGAGTAAGAGACAAGGTTGGAATAAAGCTTCTGAAATCTTCAAGACGCAGCTAATAAACAGACTATAAGAAAATTGGCAATGATTAGCAACTACTACTCCTGTGCTAAGCCCATGTCAGCTGCTACTTCAGAGTATCACTCTGCTATGATACTGTCAGCTCTAATATGTACATGTGTCTATAGTTTGCATGTTGCTTTTTGTTTAAAGATACCAAAACATTCAGTATCAAGTAAATATAGGACCTGTTTTCTGCACTGTTTGAAAGCACTTTATTCCACATAGTGCATTTGTAAATAGGAATTTTCAAAGGAGTCAAGTTCTCCTTTTGGATGAGATTTGGTTGTCTAGCTTATATCAGTGTTTCCTGTATCATCGAATCATAGAATGGCCTGGGTTGAAAAAGACCTCAAAGATGATCTAGTTTCAACCTTCCTGCTGTGGGCAGGGTCACCAACCACTAGACCAGGCTGCCCAGAGCCACATCCAGCCTGCAATTCCAGATGAAGTCAGTTCCCTAAAAGCATAAGGCTAACATGGCCTAACATGACATGGTAAAATTGGGAACAAAACTTGTATTTCTTACCTGTCTGACAGTGAGCTCAGACAACCTCCAAAGTCCTCATTTTTTTCTTTCAAATTCTGTCAAACTGTGTGCTGTCTTCTTCCGTCAGTAAGCATTGAACAACGCATTATTTAGCTAGACACCAAATACATTTATTTTATTGATCAAAAAAATGTTATTTTAACATAAGTAAGCTTGAATCGTCTTTTCCTAGGGAAAGAAAGAGAACTCGAGAATTTATAGAATCAGATTTCTCAGAAAGGTGAGTATTATTGAACTTATATTTTATGTGCCTATAGCTGTTTTGCTGCTTCAGATCTGCCCTTCAGAGAGCTGGCTGTCTAATACCCACTTCAGTGAGTTTTCACTTCTCCCCGTAAAAGCTGCAGTGTGTTATTCTTTGTAGTTATGATCTGTTGCTCTTTGCTGTATCACTTTCTAACATTAACCTTTATTATTTATATTTACTTATGATATGTTTACATTTTCTGCTACAGACCAAATTGAAGTTGTGAAAAAGAGAGAAAACCATAACATATCTTTAGAAACAAGATTTTCAGTTTGCTTTCACAGCTTTCAGTGGGACAAATACTTGTAACCAGATAGCTGGTTTTTGCTTCCTAAACTACCTGGAATGCATTCAACTTGTTTTCTTTGTTTGCCTATCAGTGATGACTCAAGTAATGCACAGGTTTTAGGAGCATTTTCTGTTTGTTTGTTTTGCTTTGTTGTCTTTTTTTAATCTTTTGCTATTCTTTTCTGTTTTTTCTTCTGTCATTTTTTGTATTGTTGTACTTTCTTTAAATACATTCAAAATTTTCAAAAGCATTCCTGTGCTTTTATGTTTTTCTTAGCCTTTTACAGTTGTTGGAGCTGGGTCTACCTCTGTAAAATAACACTCCTCCCTGAAACTATCAATCAAATCAACTTCTACAACTGTAGTTTTTTAAAAAAGAAATTCCACTGAGAATTTGAAATGCATGCAAATAATTCCAGTGTTTTCATTAAGAAATGCAAAGACAAAAGGTTTTTTTTTATGTAAGTCTTGCATATTATTAGGTTGTTATATTAGTATTTTTGCTTCCAAGTGTCCGTAATATTGTTAGTCAAGTATGAAGTAAGATTTGCAGTCTTGCTCAAGAATACTTTTTGAACTTACTGACATTTGTCTTGTTAATGTAACACCTCTGAAGAACATTTAATTGAAAAGTAAATCAAAACATGTAAAATTATAATAGCTAGATTTAAAAACTGATCTGAAAAAATGCAGTGAAATTATATGCAACAGGAAATAAAATAATCTTTGTAGAGTAAAACTTAACTTATTGATATAAAATTTAGAGAATCAGTGAAAATAACCTGGGCTTCTAAAAGTGAGGTATTTCGAAAAAAAGCATTCAGCCTAGGGAGAGCTGAGTGCTGCAGCATCGGCTTCAGTTGAAAACTTCCATAAAGGGGAGCAGCTGGGGAAAAAGCAGGAACTGGATTTTGAGTCATGTAAGAACCTGCCAGGAGTGCACGGTGCTGCACACCTCAAGTACAGGGCCACTCTTACTCTATTCTACTTCCTGATCTTTCCTTTATTATAAACTAAACTCTTGTATTTTCTTTTTACTCTTGCAAAAGCTAGACATTTTGCTGCATAACAAAGTAAGCTTATTAAATTTCAATTTATAAAAATGATTACTTTTCTCCTTACAGTAAAAGAAGCAAAAAAGGAGACAAAAATGGGAAAGGTCTGAGGCACTTCTCCATGAAAGTATGTGAAAAAGTTCAGCGTAAAGGAACAACCTCATACAATGAAGTTGCTGATGAGCTGGTATCAGAATTCACAAATTCCAACAGCCACCTAGCTGCGGATTCGGTAAGCAAATGTGGGGATATTTTTTTTTCTACCACTACAAAATTGGCTGGTTTATGAAAGAATTCTCTGCCTGCTGGCTTTGCGCTATCCTGACACATCCCATAGTCTCCCTCAGTTAACTGTCTTGTAAATATAATGACCTACTTTTACATTATTTATATATCAAATTTCTTTTTAAAATACAGAATTAAAACTGAGAAATACAGTCTCTCTAAATTATAAACAAAATAGAGAAGTCTGCCAAGAAAAAAAAGAGAAACCCACTGAAGGCTGCTTTACCCACTGTACGTGGTCTTGTTATGCTTTTCACCTGTAACAGACTTGCTGTGATGGCAACTGCTGCTCAGAGGCTTCAAGGAGGTTGTAAACTTTCCTTTGTGAACAGACATGCTTGGATGTGATATCCAAGCAGATGACAGTATTGTTTTACTATCACTCTGACTTAAAACTGCTCTTTTTGTCTTTTAGCGATGAAGAATGTGTTTCTTGGTGGGTTGGTTGTTGTTGTTTTTTTTTTTTTTTTGAGTGCTTTAATTGTTATCAGTGCTGCATTGTTCTCTTAGCAGGCTTATGATCAGAAAAATATTAGACGGAGAGTTTATGATGCCCTTAATGTGTTGATGGCAATGAACATAATTTCAAAGGAGAAAAAGGAAATCCGATGGATTGGTCTTCCTACAAACTCAGCTCAGGAATGTCAGAATCTAGAGGTAAAGTGAGGTAGATGCAAACTTATGTATAGTTCATAAGTCATTATAATGGAGCTGCTGTAATTCAAAAGAGGTTTCTTTTCCCCATCATTTGAACCTGACTGGTTTTCATTCTCTAACAGTATGAAAATACACGTTTTGGTATTTGACTAAACTGAAACAATGTGTTTGTTATGTGTCTGGTTTTGTTTCAATTTAGTATAACTTAGACAAATTTCAAAAACTGTTTACTTTACCAAATATTCATTTGTTGTATCAGGGATAATTTTTAAGACTTAAAGTCTGAAGTAACCCAAAGTAAACACAAGAAAGTAAAAAAAAAAAAACCAACAAAAAACAACTTATTTTGTCAGTATAACTGACAACATAACTGGCACTATACAGCATAAAGTTGAAGAGAGACCTATTTTGCTATTTGTGTGCATGCTTGGAGGGGCTATTAAATGGAAAAATAATTTTCACTAGGATGTCAAATACTAATTGTGAGCTAGCAGGAAAAAAAGTTTTAATTATTGGTTATTTCCATTGTTTTTTTTCAGCAGGCTAAGAGTTAACATGTTTTTGCAGGCCAGAATTTATATGCACAAATGTTGCTTCTGTTTCAGGCCAAACATTCCATAAACATAAAGCACAAGTTACTGCATTTGCTGCAAAATCCCATTGCAGCTATCTGTAAATATATCTTAACGTGCATTGTATTTGTAATACTTGTGACATTAGCTGTCCTAAAAGGGGAGGGAAGTGGTATGTCCAGTACAGGACAGCTTTTTCTTCAGGATATATTTATTGTCTTCCTAGACACAATAAGAAAAAAGGTTTTAGAAATTTGGCTATTACAGCAACTTGGAAAATTCATCTTCTCAACGATTATGCTTTGCAAATGATGAGATGATAATAAAATAAAAAAGCATTGTAAATAGGGGATGTGATTAGTCCAGGTAAGTTTTAATATATTGTTTCAGTTGAATGGAGAAATAGTTTAAAACTGAGAACAATGTTTCAGCTGCAGTGGCAGAGCTGGCATCAATAAGATAATGAGGAAAAATACCTTTTGAAGCATGATGGCTACTGCCCATTTTGTTAGCATTTTCCCAGAACAGTGGTTGGTTACATCTGCAGTGTCAGTACGCATTCATTACTATTACTGACCTAAACACTGCATTTTTTGGTTGAAAACAACTTTGTGTTGTAAATTTAACTAAACTGTTACAAGAAACAGATGATGTGCTAATGTAGGAAACATTACTGCTGACTCTTTTTGCTTCTGAAATACCATTATTTCTATCAAGTCTCAGATGAACAGTCCAAACAAAGAGAGGAAGTGGCTGGAAAGATGCAAGTGATGACATTTTTATCTGGTAGCTCACAGCTGGGAGAAGAGGGGAAGGGATGCACAATTAAAAAAGAATGCAGGGCAAGAGGGAAAAAAAAATGCAAAGCACCCCCTCAAGTATTGGTGCTAGTCAGCACTCAGTGGACAGCACTGAAGAGTAGGAATGGGTGGAGAAGAGATGCAGTCTCATAGGGGCTGGTTCTTTACTGAAAGTAACACTGTTGATAGGGAAAGACAGTGTGGTTTCTCAGTCCTGTTTTTTAAAAATAGTCATGAGACAACATAATTTGTCTGAAAAAAGCAATACAAGGTAAATATGTGGTATATATAGTAAATGGGTAGGGCTGAAAAGATTGGAAATTTGCTTACTGTACCTGGAATTCACCACTTAGCAATAGAAAGGGATTTTTTTTGTAAAGGTGTTCAGCACACTGATGTCACTGTAAAACCTGTTCAGTCTGGCACAACGAAGCAGACAAGGTAACTAATTAATTATCATGATGCATTTGTATTTTAAGATAGAAAAACAGAAGCGGATTGAACGGATAAAAGAGAAACGAGCCCAGCTACAGGAACTGCTGCTGCAGGTATGTGTTTGATTATCTTATATAATATAAATGAAATTAACCAGTAAGAATCCAATGCATTAGAACCTCTTAAATTCTTTAGCTATGATGTACGAGGGAGAAAAAGTTTCATACTTGAGATCTTTCAAGTTTCTAAGTTGGGAACTACTCACCCTGAAGCCCTGGTTCATTTTTATCCATTCTAAAGCAACATGCTGCATCTGTGTGCCACAGCCATTTTGTAAAGGTTCTGCTGAAACTACAAGCATTAGTGGAAATTGGAGCAACTCCAAGCCCCTTCTCTGACTAGTTCCTACTGAAAAAAAAACTCATTGTAAGCTATGAAATTTACAGCTGTATGTGTGTAGGTACATACTAAATTGTTCTAGGGGAGAGAGGAATTTCTGGATCCTAAGAATGAAAAACTGGCAAATGCAGCTCTTGTAAATTCTTAGAAGCACACAAGAAGACTTAGAGGCAACTTGTATTTTTGCCTTCTTTGCAGAAATGTATTTCAAATGCATCCTTAGAAATAAAGTAACATTTTATAAGTACAGTTAGGAGCATTGTTAAATAAAAGCACTTATGTATGGGCATTCACTATTTAAATGCAGTCAAACTTCTGCATGAAGTTACTGGCAGTAAGGCTATTTTTCTTTCCCTGGTGCAAAGATAATGATGTAGTTTTCAGCCAATATTCATGGAAACTAAATAGCTGGCTTCCCATCCTCCCCCTATTTAGGACACAGTTCTGATTCCAACTCACCTAATAAATTAGAAGCTTTTCTGATTAACATGAAATTATCCTGATTAAAATAACACAACTCAGATTCTCTAACTATTGGTCTGAAAATGACAGATTTGCCCTACCCTTACTATCTACAACTGTAATTATATTCTTAATTATGTTCACTTTCAAGTGATTGAGCAGTCCTTAGGGATTTTGTCTACCTATCTTCCCCCTAAGTATGAGAAATAGTACCTCAAAGTGGGTAAGTACATGGACTTCCAATCCCTCAAATAACGTTTCTTAAAACCACGTATTTTTCTGCATGGTCCAGTATGGCAAAACAGTAGAGAGGGGCTGATGTCACAGCACCTGCTGAAAATGGAGAATTTCAAAATGTATTGTTTTGAGTTTGAGAAAAAGAGGGTGATGAATGAGAAGGGGAAGGAAGTATGGATCAGGAGAAAGGCAGAATGCAGTAGTTTTTGTTAACTTTTGTTTCAATGTTAAGTCGCTCTTAGTCTGAGATAATTACACATATAGGATAACAGAGGAGATAGATGTCTGACTGCAGAGCTTTTTCTAAAGGGGTGAGGAAACATTTTCCACTACACACCATTGTTTCACGTTGGGGGGAGATGAGGAAGATATACCTGACGGAATGTTACTGGAGGCACTGAGAGTTGGTAGACAAGAGCTTGTAAAGTTCCAGTTCCTGGAAACATTGATGTCTTCATTCAGTGATTGTTTTTCCTTTCTTTCTGCAGCAAATAGCATTCAAAAACTTGGTACAGAGAAATCAGCAAAATGAACAACAAAATCAAGGCCCCCCAGCCTCAAACTCCACAATACAGCTGCCTTTCTTAATCGTCAACACTAGCAAGAGAACCGTTATTGACTGCAGCATATCAAGTGACAAGTAAGTGTTTGTGGAATCAACTTTTAGAATTTTATTTTCTTTGTGGACTTGAATTATTCTCTGAACAAGTGTGAGAAGCTTTCCCTAGTTTTTGTAAAGTAATAGTGCATTTTGTAAAGTAATAGTGCACTTACAGTCACTTATTTCATGGGTACTTTGGCTCAGTTTGGTGTTTTCATTTTTATGTTTAATCCAACTACAGTAGTAACAGGAAAAAGTTTATAACCATTGTTTATACAACTGCTAGTTAAAACAAGCGGACTTACACTGTTGTAAAAGGCACTTAAGGCTGACAGTTCGAGGAGCATTCATGCACAGGACAGAATGACTTGAATCAAGTTTTATACTAGCACTGCACTAGCCATTTTATTATTTATCTTATTATTATTTTATTTTAGCCATTTTACTAGCACTAGAAAGCTGATAATGAAAGGTACTATTATATCATTGTTAATCCAATCATAACTAATTGACTAGATGAAAGCAGGTGGTTTTGCTTTTTTTTCTGTAGGTTACAGAATTTGTTCTGTAGTATATAAATGCAGTCTTTAACTGTACTCAGTCAGTTAGCATGCATTGTCATGTCACTTATCACCAACATGCCCAAAGCAGTATTATTAAAACATGTAACTAAAAAGAAAATGTAATTAAAAAATAAACATTGTTTTAATACTGACTTAAAACCTACTGTATAGTGTAAGTCAAACAACTTCCTGAAATTACTATAGCACCAAAAGAACAGACAGTGACAAATATGACACTGTTTTGTTTCTTGATTCTGTGTTGGTTTGGGGATTTTGTTTAGTTCTTGTTTTTAACCAATCAGCAACCCAAGTAATAGGGAGAAGTTAAAAAGATTTTGATGTCCTGTACATAGACTGGGTAGTATGATGTCACCTGCTGCACAGTAGTTTTCTTGACTCACTCAACATGGAACAAGATAATCTGTTTAACGTCACCGGGCCACTCCACAGTAGGCCTTAAAAAAAAAAATGACTGAAGACAAAAGATTTGTTCATTAATTTGATAACAGACTGAATGCTAAGGGGGAAAAAAAAAGCAAACCAAATTATTGTTTATTCTACTGAAAGGGAACAACAGATGTATACTACTGGTAAAAATAAGAAAAGTTATTCAAGGAAATGAGCAGTTTGGTCAGTGTTAGTGTAGTAGATGATGACTAAGAGATGACGTGCATGTAGATGACACAGAGGCAGGTGAAATTATTGTCGATCAAATTCACACTTTCCGAGGGAGAGGTGAAGTTTGGAAACATTACAGTATTGACCTCTGAGCCTGGGTTTAACACTGAGTAAATAAGATAGCAGCCCAGTAGATCATTTTGTAAGAACAGAAGTTGATTTCTCAGTAATGGCCAAAACATTGTTAGTAATTATTAGGAAAAAAAGCAAGAAACAGCCCATAAAACTTGAGGCAGACAGTACTTTCTTTACCTGGCCTGCCCTTTTAAGAAGTACAGCAGAACCAGGAGAAATGGGAAGGCAGCAAGAGTGACTGTAGCAATGAAAGGTCTTTCATATCAGGCGCAGGTGGACCATTTGGCCTAGAGAAGAGAGGGCAGTAGATTCACAGATGTCTATACAATCATGGTTGACAGAGGGAATGTGCCCAGAATGCAACTGTTCCCAGTTGCCTATTAAACTTTAAAATTAGAGAAAATTAAGATAAGTTACCAAGTTAAAGATTTTTAAGTGAAAAAGAACATAAGTGGTTTTGTTACAGTTTGTTTCTGCAAATGATAGCAGTAAAGATGTGCATGCCAGAAGTTTATGTAAGTTCAAAAAGGGGCCACGTTAAGTTTCTGAAAAAAAAACATCCAATTGCTATTAATGGCAGAAGTAGGAGGAGTGTAGAGTTTACTACTCTAGTTGCTAGAAATAATGGAGGAGAAATAATACTGTTAGTTTAGTGTGTTCCACTTCTTGCTAATATCTAGTATTTGGCCACAACATGGGAGGAAAAACGTGGAGCTATTAATAAATACAGCCTTTAGTACTGGACCATAAAAGCTGAAATCAGTTACTACTACACAGCTTGCCTCCCATCCCTTTTGTTTAAACATAGTTGCATGACTTCAGCCACACCAGTACTGACAGCAGGAAAGTAAGCGTGCCAATTAAAGGTACAGTCACACACTGATTTTTCCTTTTGATGCAGTTATGCCTAAATAACTAGAGCTACATAAGCAATATAGATTGTACAGAATATCACAGAAGTCACAACAGAAGTGATGCCTGTAACAGAAACAGCTGCATCTAGTACAAAGCACTACGTACAACTTTTGTACACACACACAAGGGACAACTTTTCCAAACTTACTCAAACATATTTTTAAAGAGGGCATAAAATAGAATAAAGAAAATCCACAGATGACAGAAGAGTTCATCTTAGTTCAAGAGATCAATGAAGACGCATCCATCAGAATTACCTTTTAAAGATTCTATCACGGATTGTTTTTCTGGGGATGGAGCTTCTGTCAGCAGAAAACAAGTTCCTTTGAACCAGCCTTTTATTATAATCATTGGAGCAGCCAACACTGTCTGTGCCTTTAATAGCTTGTGATGATAGTGGAAGGCCAGTCTAAATACCCCTGCCATCATTAAAGCTCACTTGAGTTTGTAGTGTTATCTGCACTTGTACATGCAATAAAAAACACTTTGAGAATACTGTAGCAGAAATGTTAGGTTTTGAACATAGAAGTCTAACCAGACTGCTCTGCTAGCTGCATCTAAATGCATCCAAAAAGCAAAACTGTAGCAAAGTAAATAGGTCAGTTCACAGGAGGAGTGTTGCAGATTAGAACAGAAAGTTAAAAATAAAAGAAGTGAAAACAAAATACTTACTTACTATAGTGACGGAGCTGCAGATGACCTTTAAAAGTATTGGATTTAGTACAAGTGAACGTTCGTGTCTATTAAGACCTCCTTACTCTCCTTTGAATTTGCTTAATGAGGTTGAAAATGTTAGCCTTTCTTCCTGAAATGGTAAAGTCATTTTAATTGACAAAGTACCATTTTAAACTTTGTTGGCATTCCTGACAAAGAAGCAGGAAAGAAATTATTTTTTCTTAGAGACCCTTTACACACACACAAAAAAAAAAGGAAAAAAAAAAGCAAAGCCATACTTTTCTAAGTCATCTCACTTCAACTTCTTAAATGCAGATTTGAATACCTCTTCAATTTCGATAACACTTTTGAGATTCATGATGACAGTGAGGTGCTGAAGAGAATGGGAATGTCCTTTGGGCTCGAGGAAGGCAAATGTTCAGCTGAAGACCTAAGAACTGCAAAATCTCTGGTGCCAAAAGCTTTAGAAGGATACATCACAGGTAAGTTAACTGTCACTTTTAAATACTGTTCCTTATCAGAATCATAATGTTAGCTAACCAAAGCAAATTTAGAGATGTTAACCTACACAGATATGTTATGTTTGAAGTTAAGTGAAAAACAGTGGGGCTGGTGACAATAAACTTTCAAGGGATCTGCCACATGAAGGAATTATTTCTTAAGTAACTAAAGTGACTGAACTAAGAACAGTTTTTATTCATTTTGAATAACTGTGTATATGTGGAAGAGCAAACTAGAAGAAGGGAGCTCTTCCCAAGTGAGAAAGGAAAAAGAGGAAAGGAAAATCTTGAATTGGTTGAGTTTAACCCTATATGTGACCCAGCTGTGTTCACACTTGGAGGTGGGTGAGCTCAGCTAAGACTTACCCATATCTCTGTCCATGTAGGATGTGCTCAGTGCTGTGTGCATGCTCGTAAGTACATGGACCGTGGGTTCTCCTGCTCTCTTTATTATCTTGGTCAGTCATTTTTATACTCCCATTTACTACATAAAGCTGTGATAATTAGATAAAAAGTGGCCAGCATATGCCATCTAAGAACTGAGCATCTGTGAGTAAAACAAGAGATTCCAAAGAGGAATCCACATTAGTTATTAAAATATATGATGTCAAAAAATTGCTGAAAATACATCAGAATTCAGCTGTATTCACGAAAAGCAATACATTTTATGCAGCTCAACATTTCAAACTACCACAAATGTGTTTATATTAAATCAAAACATACTTGTTTTTCCTAGTCACTTGTTCTGTAGATTTTAAAATTCAGAATACATCTTTTAATTTCACTCACTCTTGAAATTACACACCTGTCTGATGCTGCACCAGTACCAACAAAAAAAAATTCACAAGGAACAAAGTAAGAATTCTTTCAGCTTGATTCAGTAAGTATCATTTATCACAAATTACCAATGTCAAGGCAAAGGACAGCAGCAGAACCACATCTTCCAATATTGCTAAAAAGTCTTTTGAGTTTCTTGGACCCCACTGAAGAGCAAAATGACTTTCTATTTAATTTTAATCCTGCATTCATGCATAATCAGAGAACAGGATTTCTTCAAGTTTCTTACCCTCTTTTCAGTGTAAAACCAGATTTTAAAAATTAAAAAAAAACCTATATAGCTAAATCAGTGATTAATATTGACTTGTTCTGAAAAAACATCAGCCACATCAATGTACTGCTTGTGTGACTTAGTTATTGAAAGCATTACAGGCAGATAACCACAGCATTCCCATACAAGGAAGAAACAAGACATACTCTGTTCCAAAAAAAAAAAACAACCAACCAACTTCTAACAGCTAAAACAGATTATAAGATTGCATATTGCAAGAATGCTGTGATTAGGGTTGTTTCACCAGTAGCAGAGCAGCAGCCAGAAACCTGTCTTGAATTTTAATAGGAAAGGTATCAATCTGTGCTTTTACTAGAAATGTATTGAGATACAGTATTCTTTAGATATGGGTTAAATGTAGCTGCTTCAGCCTCTAAAATGATGTGTTATTAGAATAAGTACATTCACAGGTGTATTCTGTCTGTTGTTTGCAACTTAATTACACAAAGCAAATCTAGAGTTAATGGTATATAAAGGAAAAGATTTAAAAGTTTTGCACAATACTTGAAAATCCAACATTTGCCTGATTACACATCCCAGTTCAGTATAACCTCCCATTTTAACCTGGGCAGTTTTCAGGCATTGTTTCTTCCACTATATGCAGCAGTGAATGTGAGGGTAAATTACTGTTTTCTGGAATTCATGGTTTACTTCCACACTCTCAGGATGGCCCATTAAGTACACAGGCTACGAATACAACTATACAAGAAAAGTAAATCAAAAGCACATTTCTTATTTATTCACTGAGTAAATTTATCACAGTCGAGATTCAAGTTTTCCTAGAGTAGCTGCCTTCATGAAAGCAGTCCTGTTCTAATGTCTAAACGTAGTAGCTTCTTGCCTTCTAGTTGCACTCAACATCCATATAATTTGCTGAACTGTTACCATACGCACCAAACCTTAGAGTATGTCCTCTTCAGGAGGAATATATATTTTAGCCGTTCTGTAAGTGGCTTAACTTGATAAGAAGTAATACTGTCTTTTTCCACTGGTTTCATGATGTTCCACCAAACAAACACGATATAGATGTGTGTATGTATTTGTATATATCTACACATATGCACTTTTTTTTAAGAACTACAGTAGTGTGATCTTCAAGTGTCTTGACTGCCATTAAAATAAACAGAAGCTGAGGCATATTTATACCACGTAGAAAGAGAATCCATACATCTTAAGTTGTGTTTTTAACACATTTTTCTATTGCTCTATTCTTTCCTAACAATGCATACTTCTAAAGCTGACATGACCACCTTAACATTTAATTTTTTTCCCAAAAGGGAACAATGGTAAAAGTTAACATGGAAGTGCAGCTTTAGCTAAGCAGGTAATCCAGAGAAAGTGATGGACAGATAACAGAATGCACTACAACCACTTGCCAGCTTCTTATTACGGAAAGAGAAACGTTTTCTTTAATACTACACTTTCACCAGCTTAAAGATAGCATCTGAGGGCCTCACGCCTGAAAGGTTCTTATTTGGCAGAGGAATTTCTGGCTATTCAGCACATAGAACTAGCTGTCCAAGGGCTTAGACCAGAACAATCGAAGGGTAAAGGAGGGAGTGAGAAACTAGTAGAAGGACAGAAATATGTCATGGACTGAGATAAGCATAAACTCTTGTATAACTATCCAAATCCTGTGTATTTTAAGCTGTACAGACTCTACAATACAGACTGTTAATGCAAAACCAAAGGCCTGCCTTTGTCAATTGAGTCCTCACTTCTAGAAATAAGACTGCAGATGAGGAAAAAAAAGGAAAATTCTAAGGCATCGATAGCTGTGGTAACAGCATATCCCACTAGTGTATTGCCACTAAAGCAGCAGACAAAGTGGTGTGATTTAGGTTCTCTGTATTAAGACACGTCTTTGTTCTCCTCTGCATGAAGTGCTTTGCAGTCTACGTACATAACAAGCCTGGCTTAGAGAACAAGCTGGAGATGGAATGAAAGATAAGAATACTGACAAATGAATAAGCTTGTTCAGCTACCAGCAATAATCTTCTGCAACACTATCTACTTTTGCATTAACTACTAAAGGCTAGTGAAGATAATCCTTTAGAGCCTTCTCATGTCTAGTAGAAGTTTCTACCAAATCCATCTGCTGCAAGTACATGCCTAGTTCATAATAAGGATGCCACTCTTAGATGAAACTGCATCATCTTGGAAAGGTTTTTCAAACTGGTTCATGTGTGCAGCTACTGTACCAGATGTAGTAAGACTTGTAATCACAGGCAGGCTCCTATTTTGGCAGTCCCTTCCAGACAGGGAGAGGCTTCTTGCACTCTCCATCTTGCACAGACTTTATATTTTCCCTGTCTCCTCTGAGCCCAACTAGAAATCAGCATTTGGGAACACTAGGCAATGGAAGCACAGGGCAAGGACACGTATCCTTGAAGCTTCTTTCTGTCATATGCATTACATCCATGCCTTCCTCCATCCTTCTCTTCAAAAAGAAGGTAGCAATTATCCCAAAATGTTAATTAAACTCAAAATAACTAGCAGTGACTTGCTACTCTTCCAGAATATTAAGCGTGTAGGTACAGGTACACCCTTTCAAAAGACCAGGAAAAAAACTGTGATACATTTCTAACCCGCTTTATTAATCTAAATACAGTGCTATCATACCAAATGGTTTGGCCACCCCCTGCAAACACAGGAAGAAAATGTCAGAACATGTTCTTTGTAACTCATACTAATAATTCTGCATCTGAGGGCTTAGCAAGGCCTGAGTGTACCTACAAACACTGGAGAATATATATTTCATTTTGATTAAGCAAGAACACATCTACAGTATAAAAATCAATCTAAGCTTCTCTTGTAAAATAAATGCAGAATCCTAACTACAAACAGAATGCAAAGTATAACACTGTAAAAAGAAAAAAAAAAATCTAAGTAGCCATAATGAGTGCAGCTGTACTGTCTTCTAGATATGTCTACAGGATTGTCATGGATGAACCGAGGATTACTTTCAAATTCAGCACAAGCAGTTTCACGTTCAGAGATAGCAGGAGGCACAACTGATTCAAAATCAAGGTAAATACAGTCATTTCTTATTCAAGGCTATTAATGATTCTTGTATACTTTCAGTGACCTCAGTAGTTCATACCATTTACATGCAGGACATAGGATGTTTTCTGTTAAGCTTGATTTTCAGTTGTGAAAGTCCTCTTTACTAATTGTATTTGAAAGGTTAAATCTACATTTTAAACATGCTAGTTATTTTATGTCTATTGTTTCAGAAGAATAGAATCACTTCCAAGCCCTTGTGTTTTTACAAGGTTGGAAAAGACCTCCAAGTTCATCTAGTCCAGCCATCTAGTCCACCAGCATTTTCCCACTATACCCATGTCCCTTAGTACAATATCTAAACATTTCTTGAACATCTCTAGGAACAATGACTCAACCACTGCCCTAGACAGCCTGTTCCAAATACCCAGCCTGAACCTCTCTTGCTGCAACTTAGGCCATTTCCTCTAGTCACTAGTTACACAGAAGAGGCCAACCCCCACCATGTCACAACCTCTTTCAGGCAGTTGTAGAGTGCAATAAGTTCTCCCCTGAGCCTTCTCTTCTCCAGACTGAACAATCCCAGCTCCCTCAGCTGCTCCTCACAAGACTTGTGCTCCAGGACCCTTTGCATCCTCATTGCCCTTCTCCGGAGACATTCTGGGGCCTCACTGTGTTTCCTGTTTTGAGGGGCCCA